CATGTTTCCGTGCCGGTTGCGCTTCCAAACGATAGTCTATTAACGGGCTGCATTTGAAAATCTATCATACCAAGCCTTGTTTTTCATATAACAGTACCAGACTAGACTATCGTATAGCATCGCTGAGTTTTATTACAGACATTGTGGTCGGCAATGTATGTGTGTGTGTGTGTGTGTATATTATTTATAAAAATTAGACGTCTTTTGCTGCGGGCTTACGGTATGTTTATCCATTAATACAAAATAGATCGACTCAAACGTAACGTACCTATATATATATATATATATATATACAAGGAAAGCATCGAGCGTATTGGGACCTTGCTGTCACGCACACGCTGTTGCCTACATGAGTTTCTGTGTCGATGCCAATGTTCTATGTACAATCGTGCCCTACGGCCGTATGACTATGGCATCAGTGTAATTGAAACGAAACTAATATATACATATTATACGTACCTATACGTAATGCAGGTGAACTGCCACAAGAAAACAGAGCATTTCATGCGCAAAGAAAAATAGTCCGGAAACATACCTACAGCCACAGAATATCACAAAGACGTTCTCGCGAGGTCGAGCCAATCTCATTCAGGTGCGAATAGATCTATCCAAGGAAGTTTATTAGAATATAACGAAGTTTCTGCCGGGATACCAAACCAAACTGAAATCGACAATCAATTATCCTTAACAGCTATACGCTCGGCACCATGGTGGCGAGAGATTTAGCCCCCTCAAAGGCGTGCGACGGACTAAAGAGACGAAATATTTGACAATTTACGTTTTTTTATAAATAGTATCAACAAAGTACTTGTCCCATATATGCATGCGTTTTATCCAGTTGCCCCACACAAGTTTCGGACAAAATCTAAATGTCACAAACGGAAAAAGATCGTCTGGATGCATCGTGATCACTCAGGAGTACGGTACCGTCGCTATAGTTTCTCGTTTTCTACATTGCTTCGTTGCCTATATATATATATAAAAGTTGTTCCTTTTTTGTGTTTGCTGATATATATTGGGCGGAAAAAGTATTAATCGTTCTCTAGCCAGATGGGTTTGAAGCCACATATTGTAAGTAGTATGCCAAATTGTGTTGGGTTAATTTTAGTGTTATTTGAGCTCAGAGTTGATGGCAGTAGGTGTAATCAGGTTTAAAATGAAACGCTTTGAAGATGAATAAAATTCTTGCAAAAATTGTCCCGTTCACGGTTAAGGCGCGTTATCAGAAGAAACGGCGCGAAGCGGTAGTTTTCGTTGCGGAAATTTCGGTGCTAAAAACGCTTCTCGTAGGAGCCGCCCAATTATGAAACAAGTTAGGAGAAAGTTACTGAAAAAATTCAGCGAGACTAACACAGAGGTAGCTTTTATATGTTTGGGTGCCACACGGACTGACCCAACGAATTTACTCGATCATAATTCCATCTGCGCAACTCTGCAGAAGCGCAATGAACCGAACCACTTCTAAAACGGTCAATTACGGCTGATAAAAAAAAAGGTGGATCACATACGGCAATAATGGACAAAAAAGATCGTTATCACGGCGAAGCAAGCTTCCCGATTTGTTGTAAGGCCTGGACTGACGCCAAAAAGGGTAATGCTATGTGTTTCGTGGGGTTGGAAAGGAATCGTGCATGATGAGTTGCTGCCGCTTAGCAAAACGAGTGATTCTGATTTCTACAAAAAAACAGCTAACAGGGTTACAACAAGCCATTGAAAAAATCGACCCCAGCTGGTCCACAGAAAGGCGTCGTCTTCCTCCATGATAGTGCTGGACCACATACGTCTCTAGCTAACGAGCAAAAACTGAGAGAGTTTCGATGGGAAATTTTAACACATCCGCCGTATAATTCGGATCCTGTATTATCAGATAATCATCTGCCTCGGCGCCTGCAGAACTTGCTTAATGCAGTCAATTTATTTCTAATAAAAGAATAGAAAAATTACTTCTTACTATTTTTCGCCGACAAATCACAGTTTTACAGGTGACAGGATTATAGGGTTACCAAGGAAATGACGGAATGTGTTTGATTAAAATGGCACATATTTCGTATAGTACTATTATTCTTGGCCTAAAAACGGTCAGTACCTTCTTTTACGATTTTGATGAGAATGCCCGAAAATCACAGCTACAGCCGCGGCGGCCACTATGAGTAAAATGTTCGACTCAGATATACATATATGTTTTGTTGTATGTAATAAGGATAAAATCTGCGTGAATCAATAGCTTTCTATAGCCTTCCTATCAGCTTTATTTTCTGCTGTTATCTACGATAACGTCGATTCATCTTACACTTATACGACCTTCTCTCGCTACCAAAGTACGTTGTATTGTTGAGTTTTGCTTTTTGTACACGTGGTCAAAGTTAGCTCTGGGCTTATGATCGTTTATGTTGAGCGATCGCGATTCTTTCGTCATAAAAAAATACAGATATCACTACGAGAAAGGAGAGCAAGCATGAGTTCTTATTTGTTATAGTTGTCATTAATCAGGGTCTGGGATCAGCGCTAAGGGTGCAAACTGCGAGACGGCGGTGCACGGACGGAGGAGGTGATAGCAAATGCAAAAAACTAGGTGATGCTATAAAGTGTGAGGTTTTGAACACGAATGAGGCTCGCAAGCTTTTTTTTTTTTTATAATAACACGCACGGGATTTTAGGAGCCAAGATACAATTGATGAATGATGGCTGTGGTCAAGAAAGATGTTGAAGTATAAGGACACAGCGCAATCCCGTTAACTCTGAGAGGACATTGTTGGTGACTGGAATGATCCCTGCATTTGCTTAAGAAGAACCTAATCGAAGCTTGCAACTCTCGGTTAGAGCAACCGTAATCCCTTTGGGCAAAGCTGATCATTGCTTTTTGGTTCCGTATTTCAACAGATTTACCATCCAAGCTTTTTTTTTACCTAGGCCATGATACGTCCTTATGTAGATGCTTTCTAGTGGATTTCTCTTGCTTACATTTGCCTCGTAAAAACGCATTCAAAACTCGCAGTCTGAGAGCATACTGGCCACGGTCTGCTTGTTCCGTTGTGTATTTATTATGATTTTTCTGGCAAGTTCTTTTTTCTATATGTAGATAATTCTTAAACATTTAAGTCTACTAAACTGTTTAAGCCTGAGAGAAACGTAAATATTAATAACAGTTAGTGTATAATCAATGTGTGTATTAAATCAACCACTGATCTTAGAGGCACCGATTGACAAAAACGTAATAACTTTCACGAAACACTTAATAATAAATGGGTAGGGCAGCGGTAGCAATGGCAACGACGAGAGTCACTTCGGCTACTAAATATATAGGTTATATCTAGCAGAATAATTGTTGAGAAGCAACAATCAAATATCAATAATAAAAGTTAAATTTTTTTTATAGATACTAATCTTTTGCAAACCCTAAAAGTTTCGTGTTAAGCCCAGGTAAAAGATATTGAAAAAAAAACGGACCCGCTTAAATTTGATAATAAAAATTTCAACTTGCTTTAGATTTGGCCAAATTATACGTCCTTAATTATCCAAAAACGATGCGATTCCCAGGTATCTCGTCTGTCGTAAATCGGTAAACCGATAGAGTTTCAAGATAGTAAGAGCCACAATCGTAAAAAGAGGTTTGAGACAGAGTTCAATTGTACCTGTACCTTCATACGCTTATTGGCAGTTCATTTAGTTCGTTCAGAAAGGACGGTTCGTACTGATGATCGAGTGGATTTATAAAATTTTTCATAAGCGTAGAGCATATCATTTTTCCTTGTGAAGCGTGTTTATTTATTCAATCGAAAACTACTTTAGGCTTTAGTATATGTAAGTATACGCGAGCTCTATTTGGCGTTTCCCAAATACCTATCACAGTGCGCTAACTGTCCCGTTTGCCTGTAGTTAACTTCACTTAGCCAGAATGCCCTTTCTCTAGCTCTTTGTGCCCCGGTTCTTATCTATTCAGAAAAGTAGAGCCCAACTACAATCGGGGACGTTTCAGGTAGTCTTCTTTCGTCTGTTTTTAGGCTAGTATCCATCACAGCCTTTTGGTATCTGAAACATAACAAAGACCTTCTAATGGACCTGTCGCCTGTCAGGTGCGTACAGCTAGATGTATTGCTATCCACTGAGTAAATTTGATAAAAGAAGACCCAGGCCAAAATTCAAACAACTTTTCTGGACATCTGCCAAACTTCGTGTCTTCATAGCTTTTTCCGTATTTTTACCGCCATTCCACTGTTGGTTACTAATGAAATCAGCCGATACACAGGTCATCTTGGCTGTGTTAGATGATGCTGGAAAGTTTCACCAGCAGAGGTCCCGTTGGTCTTAATGTCGTTGGACTATTTCCTTTTTTCTCTGATAGAGTGAAAGGTCGACTGAACCTCAAGCATTAGAGAACATTGGCCTTCTAGGCAACGAGTTGTTGGGGGAGGGCAGCAGGCGACCATGACGTTAACGCGCAGATTAACTCTGTCGTTGTCCGGTGAGGCACTACCAGGCACATGGAGCACGTATAGCATACAGGCCTGGCGATCTGTTTCATTGTATGTATAATATACAGAAATGACCTATCGTCATTGGATCACTAGAGCAATGGAGTCATGAATCGTGCCTGCCCATACTTCTATAAAATGCAATAAATCAAATAGACATTATTGTGCTTACTTTGCAAGCCTTTGTGCTTGTTGTTGTGTCACAGGTTCACTGTTGTCGTTGACACTATGGTTATATGTGAACCTTCTGAGCCAATAAAAAGACTGGCGAAAACTAACAACCTAACCAATTTACAATCATATTTCTCGTTTGGATTATTCACATTAGCATCTACACATATTCCTTGATTTAGCTCATGACCTATCGTATCCATCTATTGTGGCGCTGTGAGTTGGCTAGGTAAGCAATTCCTAATACCTTAAACCCGCAACATCTTCTCCATCTATAGCCATTTTACTCCGGACGTCATTCTCCCATACGTGCAGTATGCTTTTATCTAAGGCTCGAAAGTTTATATCACCCCGCTATACGTATATGTCAATAGGAACACAGAGCAAACTCGATTTGTTTTTATTTATTACGCGCAGTGATTACAAGACGAGCCATTTTGACAGTATTCGAGGGCGGTAAGCAATAAACACGGAAATAACTATAAGCGTACGTGCCTTAGTTTTTCAGGCTTCCACATATCATGCACGCAGTATTATATTACAGATCTATTATATTATATAATAGCATGCAACTTATCGAACTCTTTTGACAGCCACTATTTGTCAACTTGCTATCCCAATATTCGGTGTTTGATGTACTGGCCCCGTTGTCTGTTGCCAATAAATTTTACACTTATAGATATATATACGAATACGTGTCGTCGTGATCATCCATTGTTATAACGTCAACATTATCTATTTTGCCGTACATGCTAGGTAATATAGTATATACCATTGACCCGTTTAACTTTTTGGCAATCAAACGCACCTAATTGTTTAGAAAACTTCTCAGATGGTCAGACAGCCACGCATGTACGACTTTTCCTAGAAGCAGTCGCTCTTTCCCGCGCTTTGTCATTTAAGTCATTCCTTAGATCGTCAGGCAGCACGAATCGGCTATCGAGAACTCAGGTATATTGTTATCAAACTTTATTTATATTTAACTTATTTTTGTTCTCTAGATATACTATGCGCGGCTGTTCCCTACGTTGACGGCAGGTTTTCCCTGTTTGAACCACAGGAAAACGTACTTGTTCCATTCGTATTATACGTAACATTTGCGTTGCTGCACCGTTTCTACAGGTTGTAGCGGGGCTTATCGGACCACGCGCTAAAAAAATTGTCTGTCCCGTTTTATCTCGGTTACGTACCCTACCTACAGTTTCCTATGCAACGTAATGATACCTGCATACAACAATGATAACTATCAGGGACGTACACTTCGCCGCGTATCGTCTTCATCCCGCCAAACTATCCGCACGTAACATATATACACGTGGCAGATGATCCAGCAGACCCTCGACACCACCTGTAGAGTACCTTCCTTTAGCCTGTCTCGTCCAAGTTAGAATACTAACGATTAGTGCAATATCATCATTAGTTCCCCAGAGTTTGTATGAACGAGATAAGCAGAACGGGCCACTCAAGTTCCACGACCTCATCGCAGTCCCGTTCTTTCTTCTAATGTTCGTCGCTCGGCTGTTGTGGAATGGTTGAATGTTGTTTCTGAAGTAGAGTCTGCTGCTGTTGATCTTGTTGCATTTGGAGCAGTTTTGAGCCGTCGACTGAGGACGTTTGTTGTACAGCGACGTGGCGCAGGAGGCTTCCTTGGTTTCTTCGCTGTGACTGAAGGTGGACTTGTGCCTGGAAACATTTAATGGACCGAAGATTAGGAAGGTTTGGTTTCAATCGAGTTAACCGCAACAAAGGCGACGTGAGGTGATACTATATATACCGGGTAGAGCAAAAATCTCTTGACAATTTTGAAAAAACCACAACATCATCCATGACCAGTTGTTAAGGCAGCAAGAAAGTAACATGTAGTAAAAATTAGAAAGTAAACACTTTTAAGGCATTAAGCGATTTTTCCAAACGGTCGAGAAACTTTTGCCCCATCCTGTATTTCGTGATGCAGTTATAACCATGATAAATGTCCGTAGAAAAAAAAGGCTGCTATTAATATTTGATCCATTACAGAAAACACTAAAACTGTTAACACCGTAAAGCCGGCGCTCTGGAAGATTCCCAAAAGCTGTGTAGTTGTTTCCTAACCTCGTGATGCATCACTTATTTGAGACAATCAACTGTAGGATAGGCTAGCTTACCCATTGCCTCCCTTAAGACAAGAAACAATCGAATCAGTGAGGGGATAAGTCTGAAAATAATGTGGCCTGAAGCCATCAATCATCCCATTATGTTTCACTCGACCCAGGTTACAGGTGAATTCGTGTGTTACCCTTACCACACTGTGTTATAATAGCATTTTTTTGCTTGTAAGTTATCAGTAGCATAAGCTGTTTCTAAAGAAGGCCGCACGTGTTCATATAAGTTAAATTAAGAAGAATCCATTTTTTGGTTTTCGTCCAATATTTTCATTGCGTTTCCACAAGGGCTCTATCGAAAATTCTATACTGAGACGATAGGGAGTGCACTGTTGATGCTCTGCTTCCTTTAAAAGCTTCCGTGATCACTGCGACTCGTTATTCTGTTTGAGTCCTAAGGTGTAATAATTTCCTATGTGCTCTTTAAATTCTCAGATTTCGATTTTAAGATGATTCTACCAATAATTACCTGTAGGTACCAATCTTCAATAGATTCCGCCAGAATTTTAACTTTCGAAAAATAGGAACTTAATCATTGAACGCAGATTTCTAGTACTAAACGATGTCTTTAGCCATTATTCTTCGACAGAATTTAATCAGCTAACAGTTGTACATAATTTAAAGTTTAAAAAGATATCTGAACTTTTCGATTCATTAAATCATTATGGACGAGTAACAGTAGCAAGATAATTGTATTAGTAACACTTAAGTAGCATTATTTGCATCAAGCTATTTGGCCGACTAGCTCGGTGGCTTAATATTATTTGTATATATATATATATATATATATATATATAAAACAAAAGCTGAGTTCAGTAAGTGAAAACTATTGTTTTATCTACAGGCCGAATAGCAAAAGGAAAATGCCATGATCAATCTTTTACCTATCCAGATGGAGACCTGTAAGCAGCCAACGCCACCATATTTTTTTTTACAGAATTTATCTCACACGTGATTTCGTGGTCCGGTTACATTTTTCACGCATCAACGCATCGGGACGAATCGGGTCTTATTTTAGGTCGGACACCTATTCCATGAAGTGCCATGGTAAGAAATTGCAACTGCAGGTACCTAACGATACTTCGACTGCCCAATGACTCGTTCCCAATACGAGTATCTGGGTGAGGATAAGGTGACGGCGGATGAGAACGCGGGAAGAGCCGACCAATCAATCAAATAGAGGAAAATGGGTTCCGTGTACGCTCCTGTATCGCGCGAATGGAGACCAAAAAAGAAGTTCGAGAGCGCGTGCCTTGTGCAGACTTTATCAGCAACGAATTCCCTAATTCGCCCGCCATACCTGAATATACTAAACGTAATTTATGGCTACAACCGCTCGCCAGAAAAACAAAACGCTATACAATTCCGAAATACCGAACATCCCAACGATGGAGGTGGGATTCGTACTAACGTAAATCACCGTGGCAAAATAGTAACGCACGACGCAGTGAAAATGCACGACTTACCGGAAATTCTTAGTTGGTTGGCAGATGATGTTTTCAAATTGTAGGAGTACAGGAACGTAAATTTACGTTGGGAAATGTATCATAGTTGAAACAAACCACCTAGTAATTACAACAAATTTTTTCGGTAGCAGGTAGACAAAATTCTGCTATACATTATTATGTGATAGTAAGCTGTAGCCGCTCGCAGTCACTACACCTCTAACCAAGCGATTATATATTCCCTATAGTTTCAAACTACTATGTAGAGTCTAAGAGTTTGAACTAGTCTTAGGTGACTGCAAAAAACATGAATACGTTTTTGTGTGGCTGAGGCTAGGCCATTTTTTTGTTCTTGTCAAAGTCAATTATTACCATAGTAATTTTCTGCTAAATGTTTCGAGTTCTACGTCTGGAACTATGTTAGTATTCCACCAAGTGGCTCCGAACTTCAAATGATCGTCCGCACCAGCTCTCAGGCAACCTAAAGCTGCCACACAGCGTCCACACGGGACTGCTGATAATCGTACCAGCGGGATGTTCCTCATTACCCTTATTAGTAACATCAGACTTACGTTACATATATACATATATGCGAACTACTTCTCCCTTGCGTCATATAGCTCTTTCACCTTCACCTACCTGGAACCCGTTCACGCTTAGTTCGAGTGACAAAAGTAAACAAAATTCAAATCAGTCGCGCGAGACTTATTATTTCCAAATCATCAATTAATTACTCCCTTTCCCCTTTCTTTGCTTTCGTTTCCGTACACTGAGTTCACGCGTGTTAAGGGGAATTAATGCCCCGTAATGCAGCCTGCTTCGATCAACGTGATGAAGCTGTTGGGGATCAGATCATATTCACATGCGACATAAGGCTTTCGTGATGTCAGTGGTACTACGATAAATGGTCCTGGTAGACACAGTTGTGTCCCAGCGAAAAAAAGGACACAGCAGTAAAATCTAATTCTATTGAATCGTTAAATGTAGGCCAACAGCATTTCAACAGGACATCAACTAGAAAAAGAACGTAAGCCAAGTGTACGGGAATGATCTTATTGTTGAGGTTAAACAAGAATCCGCGCGCTTGGATTTAAAAAAACCTGGCCAGGTGGCTAAAAACCCGGAAACAGCGGACTTGTTGTAGCTTCGCAGATTATATTTGTTTGTTACGATTGTATATTTGAAGAGATATTAGGTAATAGATTAGAAAGATTAGGTTGCTATACAGTGGATAAAGCTGGTAAGGCATGTCCAGATGAAAAGGTAAAAATTATTCATTCAGGTAAAGAACTGTCAGATTGGTGATATCGGATAGGCCCTCCGTTCTATTTATTCATTATATCAGAATATTTAATTTAAGTAAGTAGGCTTTTGTTACTCTCCAGCGCCAATATGCGGATTTAACATAAAAAAAAAAGTGCAGATATTTATTATAGTTTATCAGTATGACGCAATGTATTTCCATATAATAGGCGTTCGCAAACATTCTAGGGAAAATTCACAGAATAATCCGATTCATCTTATAGGCGTTTAATCTTGAAAACCAAAAATATTAATTGTTAAATAAAAAGCTAAACACAGAGCGATTTATGGAGTTGTTTTTCTTGAGCAATTTATGTACTCCTTACCATTAGAAGCTTTCACGTTGAAAATTTCATTCACCCAGGTTTTGAGAAAAAGTTTATTCAATACAACAACATTTGGTAATAAGATTTGAGCAGTACTTTTGCATACAAATACACAGTAGCAAAAGATATATATATATATATATACTGCGAATAATCACTATTGATCCTACTATATAGGATCCGATTCGTATGGCCCCTGTGTTACAACGTTCAAAGGTTTAAGGAAGTTGAAGTTAACGGCTCAGCCAGCAATAGCATCAGTGTTCCACTTTAATACCGTAAATGCGCAGTATTGCCACCAGAGAAAGGCAACTTGGAGCCCTATTCGAGAAGCCGTCAATGTTTTTTTTTTGCATCTTTCTGTTATTGACCATTAAAAGAGACGAATAACGCGAGGTACGGTAACCTATTCAAATAACCTAAGGGAAGATTCGAGAGACAATCTATCGCTCGTTGCAATCGTGCCTTTCCTCCTGAATTTTACGACCGCCATTTCAACCAGGTTGACCGCTAACCCTTACTGCCATGCGAAGCCTAACTGGAGCCTGCTACAATTAAATCTGCTATTAAATTACTAGGTCATCCGTGTAGATAACTTCGGCCAAGCTTCTTCAACTTCTGCCAGTAAGACTGAGAGCAGAATGATGTTCAGATTATGATTTTGGGTCAGGCCAGTACTTTGGAAAAAAGGGAGTAGCTCTACCGCTCTGTCATCAATGCTGAATTTGTTGTCCTTTAGGATCGTAGTCAGTACAGACAGGCATATTCCATCGCATACTCACGCTCGCAAAGGTACATAGAAACAGATCTCTGGGTTCAGCTTTAAATGCGGCGCATATATGGTGCAGTGTCACTATATATACTCTAAAGTAAACAATAGTCTGGCGAGCCCCAGCTCGCTAGATTATTAAGTTCTTTTTTTTATTGTCGGTTATTAGGACACCGTGTGCTTTCTCCGTCAAGCAGTCTCTCCGAAATCTATGTTGTTCCTTCGGTACGGCTTTCGTGCTCTTTAAAAGGTCAGCGGATCGAGAGCAGCTTATAGAATTTCGCCCCATGACTGTGGCAGAGCCGGCTCCTTTTTGTTTTTGAATGTTGTCAAGAGCCGGGCATCTTTTTACTGGTGGAATAGAGGGACGTACACGAGGATGTACTCCAACAAAAGATCAGAACGAGAGCGCTCTTGAGTCGTTCATCGTGGACCCTATCAAGGCCTATTGCTTTGCTGTTCATCTATTCCTTGAAAGCTTGCAAGACTTTAGTATGAAGGGCTTCGTTCAAGCAGGTGGCGCTCTGTCGTGAATTCCTCATCACGGATTACAAAGAACAATGACATTACTTAAGGTATCATATCGTTCGTCGAGAACATACTAGCAATATGATCAATCAGTGCAGCTAAGCCTATTGGACGTACGGTTGAGCTATAGCGTGTTAGTTATTTGTATGGCTGCCGCCGCGTAGGGTAGGGCTGCGCTCGCAGTCTGTGTGTTTTATGATTGGCGGGTCGGATGGATGACTGAATAATTTCGACGATTTGTTGAGTAAACCTTTCTATGGCGATAGATTGACGTATTGAGATGACTTTGTATGCTCAGTCCAGGAGATTTTTCAGATTCAGGTGACAGCAAAAGTTGGTTGCTGGAAGCACCGCGACGTTCATAGTAGTAGGGGTGTGCGCTTGTATATATGCGCCCTCTTCCGGCGGGAAAATCCTTCAAACAGAGCGAACCTTATCTGGAGTAACGTTCGTTGTAAACACATCAATAATCTAGGTCCCAGCATGTATCTCAAACGTTGGTGCCAAGCTTAGGTTTATTATCCGATCACTAGAGTCTGCATAACTGTCTCGGATCGATCTAGGCGAGCATTGAAGTCACCAGCTATGATTAAGGGGGGACACTCAGGCAGCGAAAATACTTTCAGACCGTTAATGAGCCTTTCTGTTAGCATATATGCCAATTCGGCGGGGCGGACATAAGTTGCTACGATGCAAATTGCGTCAGCCACATAATGCGGTAGCGCTACCTTCCATTCACCTTGGCGAAAAGTTACCTACTCTATATAACAACTATAAAACACAAAGACGCACTAATTTTCCCGCACTTTTGCAGTTCCACTAGGCAAACTTCGGCGTCCCGTTGAAGCCCGACTGCGTTGAGTACTTGAGAATCGATCGATGATGCAGTTGCGATAGCGTTAGCGAGAGCCGTCGCTCTCTAAGCCATCGTCCTGTATAAGCGGCCACTGCTACAAAGATATGATTCACATAGTTCTCGATCGTTGGCGTTCGTAGCAGAAAAAAATGGCTATTCGGGTTTGTAGACACGATGGTGGGCGCCATGTATAAATGGCGACTCCTAAATGCGGCCGGATGTGGCTATTAACCGGTCCTAACGAAGCTGACCAAGCTATACGGCTCCTCAGCTAATTATGCTGCGCAGAATTATGCTTTAGTGTTGATCCTTGAGCCGTCATTGATTCTAATTTGCTAATCTTCTTCTATATTTTTCTCTGTTTGATCTTCCTAATTTTCACATCTATTTTTTGCGATGTTATTTTTCTTACTACCTCGCCTCGATAGCTGTATTGATCGCTTTCTACATCTGGGCGCTGAATGATGGAGACAGGCACGATCGAAAAGGTGGTATTTTTTTGGCTGCTTTCGGCGTGAGGATATCGTTCCCTGCTTTACAGTTCTACCGAATAAGTGAACGAATAGCACTTGGACCTCATGCTTCGAGCGGGAAATCCATCCTCAAGGTGTCGCGGACATCCGCTACGACTTTTTGGGCAGGAGCCATTTTAAAGCTTTAAATTGTTATTTATTATTTCTAAAATTATATTGTCACCAATCATGATACTGTTTTCTTCAGTAAACAAGAAAAAGGTACGTTGGGCGCATATCCGAAGGGGTCGAATATCGCCGTCTGCTGTTGAGGTCTATTGGACCCGCTTTTCTTTTAAGTAGGTCGCCTCCTTTTCCAAAATCGTTAGACAGAGAAATATGACCAATAGTCACTTTATTGATTTCGACTTAACTGCGCATGTGGCCAGACACTTCCACTCATCTGATCGGATTAGATATGACGCTCGAAGCATCTAGGGTAAGAGTCACCTTAATCGACGGAACGTAGACTAATAAAGTTAGGAGAAGTTGTGTGTAAACATTCTTAGAGTGTCTGTTAGCGCATTCTGCAAGTGGGTTTAGGCATTTGCACCTAACAAATACGAGGTTTTAAGAAACCAACGAATCCATGAAGTAGGGTTTGAATGATGGAGCGCGAGATTTCGTATTGAAATCGGGAGGTAGCTAGTCACACGTCCACAAGGACCGAAAGTGAGCGGACGATTTTTGAAACTTGTCTTTCCAAGGCCTGAATAATAAGGTGAGTGCAGAAAACTTCCCACTCAAGTTCTTGCAGGCCGGCTTTCACATGCTTGCCATGTACGATCTGCCGCTGTCGGCGATAAGGATAACTTCGCCTCGTCTATAAATTCTTCAGTCAACAAGCCCAAAGAGGTAATAGGGAAAGCAAACACACAAAGAATGGCCCTTACCTGTATTACAACCTAAGCCTTGAATATAGATAGTGCAAAAAGTACATGTAAGTGTGGTCATGCATGATCATCTTGTATTCCTAACAATATGTACCCTGTTGCTTAGCATATAAGCTAAAATGAAAAAAGTACATTACATGCACAAGGTTGACTTTTATTATTTTCATACATACTAATTTGAGACTTCAATGAGAACGGGAGATATTTCAGTTAATCCTAATATCTCAATGACTATAACCTTATTTTATTATATATTTTATTTATACCTTGAAATACTAAAATATATTAAATCAGCCGTTAAAGCTGAAACACGCCATCGTTTGCCAATGGTATATGTACATAGATATGATTTTTTTTTACTATTGTATCTGTAAGGTAATAATCCTTACTAAATTCGATCGACGACATTGCAAGAATTGCGGTAATTGGTCAGCCCCATATCGATATATATATATATATATATATATCGAGTCTTCTTAAAGTTGCATTCTTGACCTATCGATATATTACCAGAAGTATATTACCGAAGTATATTAACAAGAAAATGATAATATGGCAATAGTTTCGACTGTATATCATACAAGCTGCATTTCAAACACTCACTTCAGTACCACTATAAGTGGTATTTGTCGGTATGTGTATAAAGATGACGGCAGTACCATTGCCCAAAGATAATCGAAAATCTGAAGTTAAATGCCCAAAGAAAGTCGAAAGTTAAATTTCAATAAAGCTACTATACTTATCCTTATTTTTTTGCCGAAACATTTCAACTTTTTGACTTCTAGGTTGTATTGTTCGATGTTGATGCCCGAACCACCATTCTCTCCTGCATTACACCCAAGCCGAAACCTTAACTACAACTAATGAGACATTTAAACGATGTGAACTAATGAAAACATAAGGACTGAATTTAAGCTGACACACTTTTTTTTTCTTTTGTAGATCCTTATTGAATACATAGATTGCTACAGGAATTGCTAGTTCCTTCAACACGTATACGTGCGACCATATAAATATGACAACCAATAGGACAAGTGACGTTTATGATATTACAGACTAAAACTAGTAACAAGTGTCCATGTTTCACGAATCATAATTGTCTGTATCGTTCTCAATGGTACTAAGACAGGAGGGATAAAAAATAGTGCTGTTTCTTAATGTAGAAATTTGTCTTACCTGCTTTTCTCGGTGCATAGTACTGGAAATCGTACTATCAAATCGCACACAACTCATTTGGCCGACAGGTGTCGCCACTTGTTTGGCTATTCGAGGCATTTACCACATGTGACAACATTCGAGATTCTGTTCCACTTTAGCCTACCTAGAATTTAGGTTTATTATGCTTTATTTGCCTAGAGCACATAGGTAACTGTTGAAGAGTCACTATGTACCTGCCAGCTGCCGTTCTTGTGGCTGTGCGGGTGTTTTTGCTGGCTCCCGGTGGCATTCCGATTGTTCGGTGGAGTCGTAAGGACGAGACACTCGGTTCCGGCCGTACTTTTCAGAGTGCGTCGATGCGGCGAATTATTGTTGAACGTCCAGTCGCTCTGAAGTCGATCAACTTCACTGCACTTGTGGCCAAGTCCACTACCAAGATTGCAGCAATAGCATAACACGTAACGGAAATATCCACGAAATCTGAAATTGTTTGCCAATAAAGAAATGACGATTTGATTTAAAAATATAGTATATAAGAGAATACAATAAAACACTAATAATTATGGATACATGATACCACTTTAACAAGACAGCCGTGATTCTTCAAGCGCAAAAATATAATTTCAATACGTGTGCGACCCAGGGCTTTTATTAAATTTTATATCGAATAAATTAGATGACGCTTTTTGGGTAAACAGTCGTATTTTAGTCCTTTAGTGGGGATGTAGCTGGAAATGCATCTGTATAGAAGAATTTATGGAACTATTTTGGGTATTTGTGAAAGATCGTGACGCGTTTGTATAGGAGTGTGGTGACATTTTCAAATCTAACATTAAGGGTTGAAAGCGCCCGCCGAAAAGGGATATCCATATAAAATCTTATTGGCTGTCTGCGCAATGTGTTAAACTTTAAATATTACTGAAGCTTTACTAAATCTTTCAGGTAGCTACATTTGTGCTTGGCATACAAAAGCTATTGCTAAGCCTCACGTGGGGATTAGTGTTATTAGATTGAGTGAGTTCAACTTTTGGGACCACCACAAAGCAAATCAAAATAGCATGTTCGTACATACGAGAGCCCTGAAATTTTTGAAGTAAACCTTAACGCATCGCTGTATATCCATATAGTACTTTTTGTTAGCCAAATTCAAAACCTGCCTCTATTTTACGGGAGAGCAGATACTGTTGGCTTTCTAGAACATAGGTGTTCGAACAGCCATTGTTCTGTACTTTCATACACTTGTAATTTCTTTCCGTAAAATGGACTGTTTATTTATTGAAACGTACACCTGTTTGCACATTGAGCGGGTACGCTCAGTACAGATCTGCCTTCATTAAAAGAAGAAACCGTGTTGGAATAGTAAAAAGCCTAGTTCTATAAAAATAAATAAAAAATAAAATTGCGCTTTTCGAATCGAAACTAATTTTCGTTCGTACAAAAACGCTGTTGATTTAGCTATTCAGGTTGATATTGTCATTGCCATATAACGTGTACTTAAGATGCCAGATGGGTAACGAGACAAAATCATTACTTTAGCAAGGATTATAGAATATTATGCCTTGCAGCCCCTAAATTCAGTGAAATTACGCAGATACAAAATTAGAAAACAAGGAAGCAAATTCCCCAGACGGAACTACCGAGACAAGGCCAAATAGTTTGATACCTCTGTTGGCCTCTTTGGCCTACGTCTCGTATCACTTTACCAAACAGCTATTCTACATTCGTTGTCCTTATTTAATGATAGAAGGAGAGGAAATCTTTACACGATCCTAACATGTGTATAGCCTATGCGCTTCATTCTGTTACATTCGTTAAGAATTGTTACAAGCGCGACCTCTTGTCATTGAATGTCACCTTGTATATACACAGCTGTTTTTCCTTAATGTTCTTTGAGCTTCATTGTTTTGGCAGGAAAGCATATATATGAATAAATGTTGCGTCAAGGGCGGAATTAATGGTTTCGAAGTACTTACCAACCAACGGCAAAGCCTATTCAATCCGCACATATACATACACAAAGGCTTTACTATAAAAAAAGATCCACTTATTTGACGGGGGAAAAATCTTTAAATTACTACTATATCTATTTCGGTAGCCGCAGTACTCCGAGGCGTTACCACTATTTAAAGCCCATCGAGTGAAAAACATTACTTGTCTAAATTCAAATACCTCTTCCCGGGATAAGCTAAGCCAGCAAATAAAGACGTGTTGGAGGATTCAAGGCCCTGTCAAAGAAGGGAGCAGCAGCGTATTGCTTACAGGCCAATTTTGGCAAGCAACTGTCAAATCGAAACCTTCGTCCCGTATTGGACTCCAAATGTAAATCAGCAAAGGATATAGTTATCAGACATGCCCAACCAGTTAGCTTTGCGTAGACGATTTTATTCAACACGAAATGGATAACAGATTAGCGGTTGAGGTGCTTTTAGGCCAATGTCGCCATCTTATAAAATGGCGTTTTTCGTCAGGCCCTGTCCATACGCACAGTCGATAAAGTAGCTTCCACAGTTCACCACGTGAACATACACAGACGCTAAGTATATTGTTCCATGTTGCTGCCACACGTTTGCATACTTGCTAAGCATGTTTATCAGATTTGTAAAAATGGGCTTTGTAATGGCGTAGTACAAAAAGCGCGCATAGAACTCCCTCAAGGCTGCATACGATAAACCGTGAAATAGTCACCGTGGCTTATTAGAAATTGATTAGCTAATTGGTCAAAACGTGTAGGCATTAGCTCGAAAGATTCAAAAAAATCTGTGGCGGTCATTGATGCCAGGCCAGTTCACATCTAAGTAAACTATGTGATCGCCAAGCGAAAGTGGTATGATGAGGGTAGCTAATAATAGGCCTCACAGCGGATCTGATGAGGTATGATGATCCATGGGCGTGGCAACTTGCATATTGCAAAGGCCATACTAGACCTGCCAGTCACATTTTTCAGCTTCAATGAAAAACTGAATTTTCCGAAATTTGAATATACACATAAGCAACCAATCCAATTCAGTTTCTCTCTATATCTATCACGTGAGCCGTGTTCGACGTCGCCAACCACCGTTTCTATCTAAAATTACCGAACACGTTATGACCCGGACCTATTGCACTGCCTCCGTCATCGTCAATCAATATAATAATAATATACATCTGCAGTTACTAATGTTCTAGCTCTGGCTGAGATCGCCTTCATCGCCTAGGGAACGGACAACTCAATAAGAAGTTCTCTGTCGGAGCATTTCTGCTTTCGCCAGGCAACCGTCTATGCCTCTATTTGTAACTGTACACAGCTGTCTTGGAAATCTGCCAAGCAACCACTGTGTCAGGTGGTCATATGAGATATCGCACAATTGCCTCTCACTAAATGGAATGGAGTACGTGGAAAAAAAAATGTGAGAACATAGCAGAGTACTCGTCTCTTTCCAGCAGAACGTCAAAAAATACTGCCTGGTGTTTCAAAGTCAGTGATTGTCTATGTCGTGTTCGACGAACGCTTTCGTTATAATTTACAACAAACGTCAAATTAAAATTAAAGAAAAAATACGCTTCATTAAGCAATGAAGAAGATGTGACCTTCTCGAGACATTATGTAATAATGACGTTTTTGTTTATCGAAAGCATTAGCGAAGCATGCTTTGTACCCAAGACCACAGTTCAATTGGAACTATAGCTGAGCAGTCGATAACTGCCAATTAGATTAGTTATTTTGAACTACAATAGTAAGTTTAGCTATACTGCATTTTCTGGTGACTGAACTATCCAGGCCGTGACGAATCATTTGGAGCACGAAGGTTCAAAGTCAGGGTCGCAAGAGTGTAACGATATGGCCTTACATAAATGATTATTACCTATGCCTCCGTCGTTGCAGTAATACGTGTCAAGTCAATGCTGAATAAGTTACTTTCCCGATACGGTGCTTAAGACCCTATTGCCTAATCGCTGATTGGTTCTAGCATCCTGGTCAGTAGAGCACCCCTTGTATTTTAGGTCAGGTTATTATTATCCTTGTTCAACCGTGGGTTTGACAGGTTCTGCGTGTCATGAATTGCGTCGTTATGATCTAGCCCAACGAGGGCTAGACCATCACGACGAACGGGCATGCTTTATATAATTATTTAGGTGAGTTTTTGGGGCGAACTCTTCCCGAGCGCTCAAATATATGTGTATAACACCATCAAATTTCTAAATGTACCTCTATAATACCACCATCCCTTGCCTGGCGGGAAAAAACTTGACAAGGGGCACTCCGTTTATAATAGGCAGAACTGAGTGTTTTGTATTTTCGTCAATGTAAACACAAAATTGAACCGCATAAATAGTTCAATCCACTCAGGTTCTGAAGGTCAAAGCCTTTCATTACAAAAGCGAATTCTAGGAGTATAGGTATTAAAGAAAGTAAATTGTACACATCTACTTTTTATACAGTGGGCTTTCGCTAAACGTACGTTAAATACTGAAGAACGCAACATTATCCCAGACGTTTTATCTATTAAAAAGACTCGTATAGGAAATGTGGTATTTTCAAAAATGTAGAAACCATATGTAATAAATTAATTTTTTGTTTATAATAAACTGTACCTCTCCTGGGTTTTCGTTGACATCTTATACCCTTATATCCAACACCTATTTTTTATAAAATTCTCTGCACATACAAACCGTGCAATTTTCTGTGAATAAGAGATAAGCGTATAGTAATGGTATTAATCTCATAATACGATGTTATCCAGCTTCTGCTCTCAATAAGGATGCTAAGTGAAGAGTTACACGTGAGCAATTCAATGATACCGCATCTTTTGCTTTTTGAAATACTCGCAAGTGCGTAGAAAGAGCTCGTAGATATCTCTTGCAGCTTCATCGTGCGAGATAGTTGTCGACATAAGTAGTCACCTAGAAAATTCTGTTTAGAAGCTTTAAGGCCTTATAAATAAGTTAATTACTATAAACGTGCCTTACGAGCTTGACGGTACAGTATAGTCGTAGCTTGTAGCATAAATAGGTCCACTTGTTTCTATGTAGTTAGCTATAAACTAGATAAATGTACAATACACAACGTTTTCCCTTCTCTCTCAAACTTTGACTTGTTTTTTAATCGTTTTCAGCTTAATAGCCTAATTTATCAAAACACATTGCCCTTCTCTGCGAGATGAAACCTTTGGAGGGGCCTGAGTTCGAATTGGCCACACGGTCTAGAGAATAGAGCATTAGTTCTAATACAACACATAAATAAGACCTTGAGTAAGCTCCAATAGGTGCACACGGCCTGTTTTGATTATGAGTACACGGTTCGTCCGTCCGTCGTTTTTTGGTAACATACGGACGAGAATTTCATGTTTGTGCGGCATTCCGTTGAATAACTGATTGCTTGAGAAGCCATCCTCTTTATATGTATTTTATTGATAGGACCGTCTGCAATGGCTTAATATTTCGAAAGCTGTCTGACTTCTCCAAAGCATTTTTCCGTACTGCACCTTCTATATGCTTGTCTT